AGCCATGACCAAAACGCTTTCATGTCGTTATTTGGTGCTTGTCAAAGTCTCTCGATTTTGTACTACTTTAACCCATTCGTTAATTCTATGATTTTTTTGTCACATCCAGGAAATATTTTGCACATCAAATTTTATTATTCTCACTACTAAAGTACATAAAACTGTAGAAATCGCTAATTTATGTGTAAAGGAAAGATCTTATATATGACTTCAAAAGTAAACAAAAGCGGTACATAAATTTCTATAGTAAAAAAAAAATATATTTTGGATTTGTATTGCCAGTTTTGTCTATAGCATGTAGATTATATCGCAAAAATCATACATTGGAAATACTATATCAATTATGCTTTATTTTTTGAAAATATCTACCAGTGCGTAAATGCAGCACTGGTTTTATCTATGTGCTAAGATTTATGGAGTTATGGAGTGACCAGCATGCAGTCCCGACTTCAATCCGATTGAGCATTTATGGGATGAGCTAAAAATGAAAATTCGAGACTTCGTATCCCCACCTGGATACCAGAGCTTATTGTTGCAGCAGAGGAAGAGTGTTATTAGGGCAAGAGGGGGTCATACCCATACCCATGATTAAACAATAAGTGCTGAGTTGCTAATTGCCAATATCTCTATTTGTTTTTAGTTAGAAAAAAAGTTTATATATTTTAATCAATTTAAACTAGTATTGAAGCAAATTAAACTGTCATTCAAACAGCGTATATTGAAAAGGAAAGTGGCTTTAGTTTATTTTTTAGTTATTATTTTAGTTGCCAAGCAGAAATCGGCGACCATTTCCGTCATAGTTTTTCCAAAACCCAGTTATTTTAATACTTTGACGAAAGTAAGAATAGACGGGCCTCCGAAATATTCGCCTCACAGGCGACATTTTTCTTCCCGCCTGTGCAGCAAAGCCTGTGCTGTCTCATTCATTACCAGGCAGACCACGAGACACCTGGGGAGTCTTTGTGGTATTCCAATCGGCTGCTGTCACTCCCCGGGGCCGGATAATTGGCCCACCTCGGGTGATTCTCACCGGGACGGTGGGGCCCCTTGTTTGTTTATCAACTACGTTTTTTTCGAGTCCCGAGGAGAACGCTTGACCTTACGCGACGGCTTTTAAAATGTTTCCTCCGATAAATCTCAAGTTTTATTATACGGATACGTTCGATCGAGGTAAGGCGCTTCGGAAATTTCGATTTCTAATTTTTTTTTGCCTGCCGTTTTGTTCGTAGATGGCGCTTAAAGCGTCGAACCGCCACGCGGCGCTACTCTATACACATTCAGGTTTTAATAAAGTAAGTACGAGGTTAGCGCCAAAATTTCCCGTCCTGACATAGATGCAGCTCCAGTATCACGATAAAACGATAAGTCTTGCGTCAAATAGTTTTTTATTGACAGCATTTTAAACAAGACGTGTCCTGAAAAATGTCACAAATAACGCAAATTGAGTATAGAGCAGTCATAATTTTTTTGACAAAAGAAGGGTTAGCACCTAAAATTATTAAAGAAAGGCTAGATGGTGTGTACGGCCAAGGTTCTCCTTCGTATTCTGTAGTGAAAGAATGGGCAAAACGTTTTCGAATGGGGCAGGAGCCCCTCGAAGACGATTCAAGAACTGGTCGGCCAGTGAAAGTCATAAGATATTGTTGCGATTGTGGAAGGGGTGGTATCGAGTGATCGACGTTTAAAGGTCAAGGAAATCTCAGAAATTACTAAGCTTTCTGATACAAGTGTTCGTCAAATCCTGCATGACCATTTAGGTATGCACAAGGTTAGTGCAAAATGGGTTCCTAAAAACCTTTCGGCTATTCAAAAACAACGCCAAAAACTAACGGTTGTAGGAAAAGTATAATATGCATAATATACTATTTGAGGAATATGCGTGTAATCTAAGTTTGCACCAACCCTGGTGTTCAGCTTAACTTTTGTAAGGTTGTTCGGAAAGTCATTTCGTTTTTTCCCGTCAGAGGACTTAATTAAGTTTTTTCGAAACCAACTTCACACTTAAGCCGCATAACCATTATATGTCTTGAGAGCTGATATTGCAAGGCTTGTGTGTGAAAAAGTTCTATTAATTCTACGCAGTAGTTTTTGGTTGGTGCCCTTTTAAATATGGAGAGCAATAAGCAGCATTTTCGTCATATTTTACTTTTTTACTTCAGAAATGGTAAAAATGCTGTCCAAGCGAGAAAAAAATTGACGGATGTGTATGGAGAAGTCGTGTTAACAGTACGCCAGTGCCAGAACTGGTTTGCAAAGTTTCGATCTGGCAATTTTGATGTCGAAGATGCACCACGGTCTGGAAGGCCGGTCGAAGCTGACAAGGATGCGATAAAGGCATTAGTTGATGCAAATCGGCTAATAACCACACGAGAGATCGGTGAGAGATTAAATTTGTCGAATTCGACTGTTTATGGCCATTTGAAAGGCATGGGCTTAACCTCAAAGCTCGATGTGTGGGTGCCCCATGTCCTTACGGAGCGAAATTTGTGTCGTCGCGTTGACGCGTGTGATTCGCTCCTCAAACGTCAAGAAAATGATCCATTTTTGAAGCGGATTATTACTGGGGACGAAAAATGGGTTGTATACAACAACGTTAAACGCAAGAGGTCATGGAGCAGAAAAGATGAACCGGCTCAAAGCGTGTCAAAAGCCAACATTCACCAAAAAAAGGTGATGCTCTCCGTTTGGTGGGATGTCAAAGGAATCGTTTTTTTTTTGAGCTTTTGCCGGACAATACAACGATTAATTCAGAAGTCTATTGTCATCAACTGGACAAATTGAATGATTCACTTAAAGAGAAGAGGCCCGAATTAATCAACAGGAAGGGTGTAGTGTTCCACCAGGATACTGCGAGACCTCACACAAGTTTGTTCACTCGCCAAAAACTTTTACAGCTTGAATTGGACGTACCGCAACATCCACCATATTCTCCAGATCTGGCGCCTTCCGACTACTATTTGTTCCGGTCCCTGCAAAATTTTTTGGACGGCAAAACCTTTACCCCAAATGAAGATGTCAAAAACCACCTGAACCAGTTTTTTGCCAGCAAGGACCAAAACTTTTATGAGAGGGGAATTATGTTACTGTCAGAAAGATGACAAAAGGTGTTGGACCATAATGGCCAATATGTAATTTAATAAAATATTTATTCATTACACGAAAACTGTCTTTCATGTTCCCCCAAAAAAACGAAATGACTCCGAACAACCCAATAATACATAATACAAGGCAATTTTATAAAATACAAAAAATGGTTTAACAACAAACTCATTGACATCAAATCTTGTAATAAATTTAAGTATTTTTGGATAATTGTTGATAGTCATTTGAGATCTAGAGGGAATATTTGTTTGTCTGTTTTGAAATTGTTTACAAATTCCTATTCATTTTATTAACTCTCTTACTCAACAGAATGAACGAGTCACTGTCATACCTAAGGTAACAAGTAAGGATAGTAAAGTATATAATAGGATTGCTTAATAATTATTTAGAATCAGATTAAAAACATTTATTAAAACCGAAATAACTTGAGTATAATAATATAAATCTAAAAATAAATATAAAGCATTATAAATTTGATGAAAAAATAATTAATTTAATATTTTTAGTATTCTGTATGCTTTCTAGGATAAAATAAGCAAACTTATCTAAGAGTTATTATTTCTTTACTAGAGACGAAATCTAGAATTATTATTGTTGTTTGGTTTATTTTTACGTGTTTTTTTTGGGTTCTACAAGGTTTTCAAAATTTGCTTTCAAAGCTACAATTTGTTATAGTTCTAAGTTGTCCAATTAGTTCATAGTTTAATTGATAGTATCCTGGGGAATTATTCAGTATGTATTGTCTTTTTTCCGCCTGTATTTACTGTTTTCGTTAGATATATTGTACTTGTTTTATAACATTTTGTGTGTTTTTTGTGACACTGAATGTTTTACAATATAGTAATTAATTAAAACAAATCTCTCTTCAAATATGTTATTTTGGAACAGGAAAAACAAATATTTTAAAATAACTAAAGTACAGAAACTTTTTGAAGTAAAGTTGTGGCATTTGTCAAGAGAGAATGAAACATTCTTATGATTATGTAATTACCGTTTCCTTAAAATCAAAAATAGGGTAATCAAAATTCGAAGTGAAGCTTTGTATCAAGATTTAAGCTTATAAAAGAAACAAAATTAGTTTAGCTAAACAGAAATGGCCAAGTTTCAGCGTTAACAACCGATCTAAGTTTTCCCTATCGCTTAAAGTAAGATAAATGGACTTTGCTTAAGACTTTTTTAGAGCATTAATCAAATGCTCTTTAATTATTTCTTAAAATTGAATTATAACTCTCCGCTCTTTAAATGTAGCTTAACGCTTAAGCGATAATATTTTTTTAACTAATCAAAACTTATACTTAAAGTTGTTCTTGCTTTAAGATTTTTTTAGTGCTTGAAATGGAATTAGAAATAGTAGCGTAATTTTTAAGCTAATATATCTTAGTTTTTAATACATTTCCAATACTTATGATTATATGTTTCGTAATCATAAGACAAATAAGACGTGGAGCTTTGTATGAAGCTTTAAGCTTACAATAGACTTTAGATAATAGATAATAGATAGATAATAACAGATAATATCGATAATATATTAGTTTGTAATGCCTTTCCAAGAGAGAATTAACAATAGTTATGAATATATCTTTGATAATCTTCTAATTTTCATTGTTTTCAGTTTTAAGAAGAAAATAGAAGTCTAACTAACCAAAACCGAACAAGTTTGAATGTAGCTTTGCTCGGGCGTATACGTAGGAAAATTATATTCATCTGATTTTTTTCATACGTTCCGTGCGCGTTTAAGTAAAACCGCAAATAAAAAAAACCAACGACCAGTATTTAAGGGGTCATATTTTTTTTCACATTGTCGACGTTTACCAACTTAAAGGATGATCGACTGCGCGCCCTCATATCTCCCGATCTACGTATAAATTATGTTATTTGACTTTGTAATTTTGTTCCAGATAACGAAACTGAAGATTGACAGCAACCCATTTGCCAAAGGCTTTCGAGATTCATCTCGTCTGACAGAATTCGAAAGGTATGCGTCCGAATGGAATTCCCTTAAAAATAATTCATTAATATGAATTTTAATGGGGGCCCCGCTCTTCATGTTCCTTTGTGCTCGCGTTCGAATTATGCGCCGGGCATCCGTTTTAATTGGGGGCTTAAGAACGTTCCTTCTGATATCTGCGTTAAATATTGGGTTTTATTAATAACTCAATTTTTGAAAAAATCACGTATATTTAAAGCGATCGTACGAATACTGAAATAATAGTAAATGACGTCATTACGTCTATCTCGAGAAGCGTGAGTGACAAACGAAAACCGTTGGTATAGAAATTGTAGCTCTCGAAGCTGCCTACAGGACCGTTCAAAGGAATTAGCCATATTTTTCAAGAATAATTTTCAATGTCTTTTGAATTTTTCTGGAAGAAAATATAATTTATGGATCCGGATCTTCCGCGTTTCCCTGTTAAAGAATTTTTCCAATCGGATCAACAGCCCAGAATAATTTTTCATATGTTTTTTCAGTTTAGGTGTGGATATGGACTTGTACTCTACTGCCAAATCTGGCACGAGATATCCCGAACACCCTGTACAATATGTGGAAAAGTTAAATACAAAAGAAACTGAAAACTAAAATGTAGTCTTCTAGTTACAGCAAATTATCTTTAAAAGAAAACCCGATTTTCCGACGCAGCGTGTATATTTTGAAAAAATCAATCTTATTGCTGATGATTATTAGTAACATTAGTAACCGTTTTTGGAAACATTTTTTCTTCTCGTGCCCTTGCAGAGGTGGTTTTTGCATTTTTTAAAATAGATTTTTTGCCCATAATATGCAATTGAATTTGGACCATTTTTCATTTATAATAAGCGCATAGGTATTTCTCGTTTTTCATCTTGACCATATCGCTTACAGGGAAACTATGGAATCGATGCTAGCCGAGCAGCACTACTTCCGCTCCCCCCTTCGGCCGTTCGGCGAGATGGACACCCACAATAACAACCTCTCTCTGGAGGAAAAGGCCATCTTGGCCGCGCGATCGCAGCTATTTTTACGCGCAGCTGCCGCCGCCGCCGCCGGCCCTTACGGCCCCCTGATGGGCGGCTTTTACGGCGCGGCAGCTGCTGCTTCCTCCCAAGCCGTTCCGGTGAACCCGGGAGTGATTTGGAACCAGTGGGCCTGCTTGGGGTCTTCCCTACTAGCCGCCCAGCACCAGCACCAACTGGCGGTCGCGACAGCGAGCTGCTCGCAGCTGAACCACCAACTACCCTCGCCGGTGTCGCCTTTGGCCCGCCCCTTGGCCCAGCACAGGTATAGTCCGTACGCGCCTCCGCCTAGGACGAGTCCCGATACGAACCTGAGGGATGAGATCGACAGTCCCGGTAGTCCTTAGATGCGATCATTAATTGTCATCGAACGCTGCCGCGCATTTATTATCATTCACGTACTTAATTCCGAGACCCTGAGAAATGTTCAGAGGTTTGGCAACACCGACGGTAATATTAGGATTGTTCCCACCGCAGTCAGAAATAGCTTCTTATTTTAGCTTCGCATGCGAATGTGAAGTATCTTATATTTTAACTCATAGAATTCTATGAAATCGATAACGGTTCTGCCAACAAGTTATTTTACAAAATCGCCAACAAAGACAAATTGACATATACAGGGTGTTTGTTAACAGAACATCAATTATTAAGGGGTCGATTTTTTTGTCCATTTTAGAAAGAATAATTCATATATTCTAAAGTTAACTTTTGAGATGCAGGAGAGTGAAGTTTCCAAAAATAAAATGTATTTTATAATATCTGTAATTGATAGTACGCCACTGATTTCTCCTAAAATAAAAATTGTTCTTACAATTTTGCAGTCACAGCTAAATCGTTTGGTTTATGAAATAAAAGCAAGTTTTCCTGAACACTGAATTAGTTTGCCCTAATTCATATGCTAGGTGGCCGACGAAGCTAAAATACTTCCAAATATTATGACCAATGGCACCAACCAGCTCACTGCACTGAAGAGGTGTCACAAAAATTATACCAATTATTTACTGACCATTGGTTTCGACGTTTGTGGCAGTCGGATTGGCCAGCAAGATCGTCCGATCTTATGCCATTAGATTTTTACCCAACCAAAGGATTTAATTCTAGGGAAATGATACGTCATTGGAAAGGGAATTTGATTTGCTCTTAGAATATGAGATAGAAAATGCACTTTTTACCATTTTAATATCTTGTAAGTAAATCAAATATAATTTCGATATTGTTTGCACTCTCGTAGAAATAAAAATTTAATTCAAGAAATGTTTTGGTCGAAAAATAAAGAAAATATCTAATTCTATCTATTATGAATGTATTAATTTTCAGAAAAATATAGTGTGTAAGTTACCGTCAAATATGAAAAACCCTATATATTCTTTGAAATGTGAGTTGTGATCAGAGACCAGATCCTCTGGAGGATCAAGAAATCACCAAAGTTGAAAAGAGTCCTATCCTTCTTAACTTTTCGAAATTAGGAACATATTAAAATTTTAATAACATTTCACTATTTAAGGATAGTTGGCAGTTTTAACTCTCATTAATAGAGGACAGAAATTATGCGTCACTGAAAATGGTTCACAATACTTTCCCAAAATCATAACGACCAAATGAAGAGTACCTCAGGGCTCGGTATTTTGCCCTATTCCCTTTGTTTGGAACTCAGAAAATGACCATTCGGCCCGTTGAAGTCAGATAACTCTTCTGAAAGTTCCATACTTGTTTCTTACCATACCTATCTTTGATAGGTCTAAATTATGACAGATTTCTTTTGCTTCCTTTGTTTTAAATTTTTTATAGTTTTGTTTTTTCAGTTTTTGTTATAAGTGCTGAGAGCCTTATCACTTTTTTATAGCTCTAAGGGATTTTTTTAAGTAGTTTTAATAATATACAACAAATTACCGTCAGCTAAGAGATCATCATCTAAATTAATAGAAAAATTTCTTTATGATGTCGGTGGCAAATTCCATCTGAACACCGTATAAAAAATATGGTTTTTGGTCGAAAATTAAAAAAAAATCCTCATTAAAAAAGGAACACTATTTATAATTCTATTTAACCTACAAATTAGCGTAGGGCATTAAAAAAAAACTACAAAATAAATGGCCGTCCATTTTTTTCTCCGTTTATTAACTATTGACGGGAATAAAAAATGCATTTCGCACGATATTCCCCGCGAGGCGAGCGATTTATACGCGATGCAGGCCAACGTACGTAATATATAGTGTGTGTTGAAAAATAAAACGTATTATTATCTGGCGAAATTGCTACGGGTATGATGCGTGTAATAAAAAAGCCATTAAAGGTATATCTAAAAGTACGGGCGTCGCGTTTACAACGTTCGCGGATAATATACTCATTTACCGAGCGGCTTTAATTTCGATCCAGATTGCGGAGGAAGCAGTAAATTGAAAGTTTCGCTCGGTCGCCACGTCATCGAGAAAAAAAAAATAGAAGAAAAGTCCGCAAGAAGTGGGCCTATTTTTTCTCTTCTTCTTCCGTTGTTTTACTGTTCTTTTTCACTCCAGGAGATTTTAATAATAATAATACTAATAATAAATTAAAAAAAAAAGCATTGGAAAAGCTATTCCTGACCAACTGTCAGATCTAGATGTAATAATCAATGCTTCATTAACGCTATTCCAATTTCAAAATCGATTACGAAATTTAAAAAGTTCCAAATGTTTTTGGCTGCCGCTTATATAGAAAATAGAAATTTCACCATAGCAATGAAATAATCAATTGATCATTTTTCCAATGATAAACCAACCCGCAGCCAAATAAAAATAAATATGATTCGTTTTATTTCACAATCAGATTTAATCACTGCCACTGGAAATTTCACTATCTGAATCATTATTAAAGTCAACCATTAAAATGTTAATTTTCAATCTATCAAAAACTCCATCTGTGGTCGTATTGTTCTGCCATGTGATTTCATCGTATGTTTATTTCATTTTTTTATTTATTAAACTTCCAGTCTAAAATAATTCATTAAAAATATTACTAAAAAAACCTAATCAAACGGTCGCCTTTAACTATCAACTTTTGTCGTGTGATGAATGATTATATAAGTATTTTTATTTAATTTCTTGGTATTAACTTCAAAATTTTTATTCTTGATGAATAATTGTATTAAAAAACGTTCCATATTATGAAGACTACATAAAAAGAACTTCTTTTTTCATACATTTCGTAAATTTCGTATTTCATAGAAGCCATTTTAAAATTAGGGACACAAATATCTGAAATTAAATTGCATCTGAAATTTTATTAATTTCACTATATCAGCTAAGCCTTCTGGATGCATCATTCTGTTTCTCGGTCAAGTTGTCGAATTTATCAAAATTTGCAAATAAAGGATCTAAAAGTCAATGAAAGATCGGCAATAACTTGGTTTTGACGTCTATTTATATTTCCATGCTGTACGGTTTCCCTTTCCGACTGACTACCCGAGTGACGGGGCCATAGTTTTGTCGTGCGCAGCAGCGTTTGATATTCTCCTTCGATGAAGATGTACATAGAATACTTATGATGTAAATAATCACTTATAATTTATTACCCTAATTATTTTTAAGTGACATTTTATTTGGTTAAGTCGGTAACAATTTTCTGTTTCGATTGGCGAGCTTGGGACTTGTTATCAACCAGCGTTCTGGACAATTCGAACTGACAGTGCTTATATTTTGTACATAACAGCCTCGCATTGTGTATAGGTATGACGTAAGGTTAAATAAAAATACATTAACATTTTTGAGTTTTTATTGCCGCACCCTCGAGAGACAAATATATAAAATATATTTTGAAAAATTTAATAAAAATATGTGCATATGAATCATAAAAATGCTTTCTTCTGTCTGCCAGATGTTACAGTTTGGGGTGTTCTAACGGTAAGTATACTTATATATTTTCATTAAAATCGATTCAAATAAGTAAGTTCCAAGCGATCCCTTTGATATGTGGTGGAAATAATCGGTTATCAACGCTCTTGTTTACAGAGTCGTAAATTAAATTGAAACACGTTACATCTGGTCTTCTTTCGAATAATTTCCGCATTAGGGATATTAAGCGTTCCATCGGCCAAAGACAATGGGCCCGAAAGCAACCTTATACCAATGAAAAATCCGAGAATCTATGAAAATCCATAAGCAACTAAATAATTTTAACCGCGACTCAGGTCTCTTCCTGCCCTCCCCCCCTCAAACAATATATAAGCAGGTATAGAGCACGATGCGAGCCAGTTTCAATAAAACAGTGAGAAGATTTGAAAGTGGTATTATAAATTTACCATGTGACACCAATTTTTACATACATGTTTCTTGTAATTCTAAAAACGCTTTTTATATTTTTTAAATATATTGAAGCAATACGTTTGATTAACTTTTCTCTGAATAAAAATGTCATTGTTTTACATGAGTGTCCAACAAGTAAAAAACTTGATCTTCTGTAGCAAAATGCTGACATTAATTTTTAATAATATAAACTGTACTCAACTTTTCTTTTATATCAACGTTCGATCAGACCGACTTTTGCAATGTAATTTTGCACGGTGTGCGGCCTAGCATTGTCATGAATAGAAATGAATTCTTCTCCAATGTAGTCGACATATAGTACCATGTTATCTGATAAGATATCCTCGATGTACCACCAGGGCCGCCCCTACGGACGAAAACATGGTCGGTTAGTGAGTCCATAGAAATTGCAGGAACCACATCCATAAGAGCTCCGCTCTTCATTGCAGCATTCTGCAAATCCCTCTTCTGGTCTTTTGTACACTTTTTTTCGTCGATCACTATCAAAAAGGCATATCCTGGTCTCATCTGAGAACAGACCCCATTGGTCTAATATCCAATTCAGGTGATCCCGTGCAAAGCGTAGGCGTACTTATCGATGACCTGGAGTAAGTTTTGGACCAATTGCGGTTGTTTTTGGGGTCAGGTTATGTTCCTTCAGTCTTCTGCTCACTGTTCACTGAGTAACAGCCACTCTTCGAACTTCGTGGAGATGTTCTTGCACCGCATTAAGGTGATGATTTTTTATGATCGTTGACCCAATAAAACGATCATCACGAACCGCTGGAATTCGCCTTCTGTATGTTGCAGTGTCATATCCAGTTGTCGAGCAACAGCTCGTTGGCGAAGTCCACATTCTATTAAAGCGATAACTTGAGCAGCTTTTTGCGATGTGGTATGGTTAAAAATGAATAATGTGATAGCTACGCGTATAAAAGATCAGCGCTCTTGACCAATTTGTACTAATACTAAAGCATATTAGATTGTCTTCCAAATTGCATATTAGTTTTTTTGGGTCAGATGACTCGTTTTTATAAAAAAATATTGTAAAGTCAAAAGTTTACAGTGGGCCGACATTTTGATTACGTCACTATACGTGACGTAACTGCACAAGGGTGTTTCTTTCTTAAAAAAAAAAGAAAAAACGAATTATCAATACCCGCAACATCAACCGGCTGGATCGACGCCGCGATTAAAAGGATAATTAATTAAAAGCGTTCCAATTAAAATTATAAAAAGCTGGCGGGGAGAGGGTTATATACAGATTAAAGAGTTGCCGGCGCGCGGGAGCTGAAGGAAGATATATTTCATTTCACGGTAGATTAAAATTGAATAAGTTATGGCTTAGTCGAAAGGGTGAGATTTCCCAGAGGATGCGTTCGGTCGGGACTTGCTGCCTACCAGAAATTATCCACGGGACGACGGGGGTGTATATACATTAGGCGTCAGGCACGCGCCCTCCTTAGTTGAGATTGTACCGATTCCCCGCGTAACGAATAGATAACATGTTAATCGGGTGTCGTGTGGACTGCCGACGGGGTAACTTTTAACGTATACCTTCCCCGTTAATGCTAGAGAGTAATGAAATTGACATTAAATTGACGATTAAGCTCGCGGACGCAGATAACCGGGAAAATTTGGAAAAGTCAATGTAAAGATCAACCTTAAATTATTTATAAATAAAACCGGCCTTACTTGACGTGTTTTCATCTTTCCCCCATACTTACATTTCTCTTTTTGCGGATGATGCAGTTTCTATCCTTTCTGCAGCATCGTCTGAGCAACTTAGCATTACAACCAAGACAATTGTTGATCTAATGAAACATTATGCAGAAATTAACAAATTGATATTGAATGAAAGTAAAACTAAGATGATCGCCTAAGTTTATTAGTAGGCTTTAATGAAAACACAATCTAACAGAAAAGTGTTGCAAAATTCCCTGTAGTTTATGTAGACTCGAGACTCTCCTGGTTCTAACAGGTGGATCACATTCTCAAAAAAACGTTCTGTTTCCTGCTTTGTTATATGGAGGCTCCGCCATCAGGTTTCTTTCTCCTTGTTAAAAATGTACTATTTTTCGTATGTCTATTCCTGTCTCAATTACGCCTTGGTTTGTTAGGGAGGTTCCCCACGTGCGGAGCAAGTCTTTAGGATGCAGAAACGCATTTTACGGACTATAAGCCCTGTTTAAGCCCTGGAATTTTCCACGTCGGTACCTATTTCCACAACACTCTTTATTGACATTTCCTAGTATGTACATACTAAATTGTGCCACGTATGTAAAGTAACTCTAATCTTTATTTGTTCTTATTAATTAACTAATTATACTAAGATAATTTTATATTTTTGCATTCATATTATACTGACAATATCCAACACTTGTAAATCAAGTCTTATGGAAATAAAGTTATCTTTATCCTTAATACTCAATAAATAAGTCGTAGGAATATTATGTCATATAGTATATAGTTAATATTATTAAAATAAATAACTATATAATATAAAATATTATTATAAAATAATAAATTATAACAATTGGTATTATAATTAATGGTAATTATAATTAATTATGTAATTACATATATTATTATCATAATTAATTATAATGTATAATATATTAATAATTATTGTATAATAAATATTTATTTTAATAATATTGATTATGTATTATATATTTCAATTATTTTTTTTATAATTATGTTTCATTTCAAGTGTATGAACAACACACTCTCAGCAACTGCTCTCTCACACTAATTTCACACTGAGCTTAAATTACATGAATTATTTGATGTTAAATAATTCCGTTTAACTTATTAATATCAATTGGGATCATAGTGCTTCTCATCATCATCTAAGGGGTATGATACAGGATTTTTTAACACTTCGTCTGCGAAATAAGTTTAATATGATAGAATTTGGTTCTTAAAACTTTAACAAGTTGTTTTTTGTATAAATATTTTCAAATTAAACTGCTGATCGTTGGTGCTTTCTTAGGTAAGGTACAGTGAGATAAATTATTATGCTTCCTGGTAGAATATTTAGAAAATTAAATTTATTTCTACTCCCTTAACTAAAATGACTAAACCACCGTCAATTTCGTTTTCCACGGATCCGAGCCACTTCGGACATTTCCGAGATTTTACCGCACGGGTTTGGGGGCAGTCGGATGTTTTCGGAGATATATACCGCATATCTTGAATTTTAATGTTTTTTTTTTACTTCCTCCATTCCAAGGATCGTTGAGTCTCCTAATGTTTCACGACTGCCAGACGATTTTCTTTTCGTTTCCATTTCCGGCGAATCGACTCCGCATGACCTTCCTTAAACACTTTCATTGTCTTTTTCACATGGTTAGTTCCTTTCTATATTCCAAGTCACACTAAGACTGCTATAGCATTTGCAGTTCAGATGTGTGTCAAAATAGCAAGTATACTGGAGTGATCACATTTCACAAAGGAACTACGGTTTCTATTTGAATTTTTTCCCATATATATAAATATCTATTGGTACTTCTGGGGTTTTTGATATTATTATTTTTTAGTTTTATTAGTATTTACTTAAAGGGCATTACGATCTCCCAATGCAGCGAGTGCTGTGGGGCTTCTGGATTATCCGTTATTATCCCTGTATCATCTGTTAAGCGTTATACCGTTGATCTCGATTTTTTCGTATGTGTCTTTTATTGCTTCTCCAAAAATACCAATAAAACCATCAGGGCGCCTCAGAAGACACCACTGAAAAGTTTTGGGGTTATGTGAACCAGAACCCTCATTGTTTATCTACTCAAAACAATATATTTTTCTTATAATCTTAGCTTATTTTAAGGATGCAGAGTGGTCGAACGCCTTTTGTTGGTTTCTATGCTTTTGAAACACAACTTTCAAACCAAACAGTAATTCATGAAATTCAAACTGTTAGTATTCTTGGATAAATGATTTGAAGGACTCATTAAGCCTATCACATCTCTTTACGTAGACTTTTCAATAAATTAAGCATCTAAGTACTTCAAAATGGGCTAGAGCAAGGTTTGCGGTATGCGAGCTTGAAGTTTAAAGGCTTACAACCTGCATTGAGATGTTAAAATCACCCTGTTTGTTCAATTTTTCAAATGCAATTAAAAGGAGAGAAAAAACGAAATTTTTAAAATACCTATACAACATCTTTGTATAAATTTCTACCAGACCATTTTAGAAATTTATTTTTTTATTATTTATAGCGATTAATGTATTTCTTTCTCTCTTTGTCTCCGGAGCGATAACTCAGAACCCGGCAACGTTTCACATTTTTACGGCTCCGCATCAGCATCTCGAGAATAAGCGGAACTATGCGCTGTAAAAAAAATGTAGGGGTTGAGGGAGTGATAAAACTGCGGCGAAGTTAAAAGCTGGGGGGGCAGAAAGAGAGAGACGGCGCAGTTTCCGACAAATTCGCGGCGAAACGACG